GGAGAAAGTTGTCAAAGATCAATTTTCAGACTGTCTACTTAAGGAAGATCTTGTTACAAGGTCTCAACACGGATTTCTCAAAAATAGGTCTTGCGTTACTTGCCACTTCGACTTTTTCAACTGCATCACTAGTAGTCGCGAAGCACGCAAGCTAGTTGTTGTTCTCTATTTCGATATATCTAGGGCATTTGACTTGGTATCTCACAGTATTCTCTTTGAGAAGCTGTATTCATGTGGGATTCGCAATCCATTACTGAACTGGTTAAAATCGTTTCTAAGCAATAGGGTACAAATAACCAAGGTTGGATCTGTATTGTCTCATCCTAGACAGGTCACAATTGGGGTTGTGCAAGGTAGTGTCCTAGGTCCACATTTATTTACAGTATACATTAATAGCATTTGCAACTGCTTCACCTCAGGAAAATCATTCCTATATGCTGACGACCCCAAAGTCGTTTACTCCTGCTACGCTCATGAATTAAGCGATATGGTAAATAAGATACATCTTGAACTGAGTTGTCTCGCAACATGGTGTGCTGAACCCTGTCTAAATTTCAACAATGACAAATGTGTCTGGATTTGTATCGGCAACAGTAACCTTGACCTGAATCTTTAAATAAATGGGCGTAAACTAGCCAAGCTCAACTCAGTCGTAGATCTCGGTATCAGATACTCTAGTAACTTAACGTTCTCTGAACAAACTGATTATGCCAGACGTAAAACACGAAGGCTCCTAGGATGCATAACTCGCAATTTCTTTTGTTGTGAAACTAGGGTTTTATTATATAAAGTATGTGTCCGACCTATTTTAGAATACTGCCCGTTTATTCTTAGCGGACTCAGACAAAATGACAAGCTTACGTTAGAAGGAGTGCAACGGCAATTCACCTTAAGAATTCTTGGTTTAGAAAGTGGTCTTGAATACTATGAACGTTGCGACAGACTAAGTTTAGAACCACTCTGGAAAAGTCGTCTTAAGCTAAACCTGATTTTTTACTACAAGCTAACTAATCTGCTCGTGCACTCCTCCGAGCCAATAATTAAACCCACCGCTGTCATCAGTTCCTATCTTAGAAATCATCACAACCTAGCTGCTATAGAGCATTGCCAGACTTACATGCGGTATAATTTCTTCTTAAATAAGTTTTCAGTCATTTGGAATAGACTACCAGCTGATGTGCGTGATGCAAACACACTCGCAGTGTTCATCTCCTCAGTCACCAGACTGTTCAAAGATGGCAGTGCACTTCTGCGTCTGAATCCTACACCCACTTTTTCGTCCAACGTAGATATTTTAAGTTCATCAAACGTGTAGTTACAACGAACTACAATTATAAATTTTTATATTATTGGAAGTACATGATAGACATTTTTACACAGGACAATAATATTAGTTCACACAATATAAAAGTTAGCATAACGGGAATAGTTAGTTAGTGCACCAAAATAACTATAATTACTAAACAGAATATAAATGTATATATACATAATAATCACTCCCTAAGTACTCCACTTGCTTTCTTTTGCGTTGTTGTTGTTTGTCTTCTTTTGTCTCACCACTTCAGCTTCCATTTGACTTTTTGAATGAGAATGAAGAATGTGGATATTTGCCCATTTACAATGACAAATGATCTGCAAACATTACTGGTCCCATATCTTACAATTCCCTCGTGAATTACGCATTACGCAACCTGGATTACAGTTGTGAAATATACCTTTATACCAATAAAAAAGTATTGATTTATAATACTTCATGATTGTAACTTACAACATAACTGATCTTGTCTGCAAAAATAGCTTGCATCTCTTGAAAACACCCGTTTATAAGAAAATATAAACTGTCATTATTATTAGCCTACATTGAGTACTATTAACTTGTGATGTTACGAAGAAAATGCTGACAAAAGTATACAAGTGCATTACTTATTTTAAATCATTATCAAATTTGGATATAAATCAAGAATAAGACTCGATGCCGTACACACCAAAGTTATATGGAGGAATTACTTCAAGCTTTATTTTTTCCCAAGTATTTGTAATCCATCCAAAACATACTTCGGTTTTTTTGTTAATGCGAAGACAATATTTCTATATTTCTTGATGTGCTCCATTGAATGACTAGTTATCATATTGCTCCCATAGACAAAATGACTGCAACCTTATAATTTTACCATGAACCAAATTTATGTAATTTAAATAATACTTATCCATGCCTGTACAATTGGTGTGTCCTACACAGGTAGGAAAAAATGTATTTTATTAAATTACTATTATTAAATATGCTTACTAATCGTATATGTAATTTATCATATTGATGATGTCTGTAAACTGGCGTCCCTCATGTAAAAAATGAGAATATACTATCATTATGATTATTAACGAAATGCGAACTGTTTTGTCTGACGCGGAATGGCAACGAGTAAGGGGACGTTAGGAAATGGTAAAAAGGATCGTTCACACAGCAATGCCATTTACTGTCCCTGTAATCCCACTACAACCCAATAAATGATCCTCATGGTTGGAGAGAGGCAAACAGCGTATTCTGCAAGCAAAGCGGAAAGCTTGGTCTACATGGCGATGCTTCAAGAGTAAGGCTTAGAATGAGGCATATCGAGAACTCAGGAACTGACGTAATGCAAGGATCAAGAGTGACAGGAAGTTATTCCGGGCAAAGATTACTGGGAAACCCCTCCGAACCCCGAGAGCCTGCACCGAATTATTTTGGAAAGAATGCCTATTAATCATCAGGCATTAGTTCTAGATGGTTCGAGTGGTCAGTATCTCACTAGTTCGGAAATGGCTGAGACATCCATTTCGACCAAATAGCAATCAGGGTATTGCCGCCGTAAGCCATTAAATCGACATTCGCAATTTACCAAGAGAAAACCTAATGGGTACATCCCAGATCAACCCCGCAGTCTTACTAAGGAAGTTGCATAAATTCACTTCTGGAACGACCTTAGTTTGTAACATTCAACCATCCGTTGTGAAGCTGGGAGCAGAAGCTTTCTGCAGGAGCTCGTGTGACCCGTTCCAACAGTCCGTCGATTCAGGAAAACTTCTGAAGGAGTGCAAGAGAACTCTCCTATCTTTAAGTGTAGGGTTGCAGATTGGTTGCCTTACTCGCAGTGGCATTGAAGGTGCTGGAAAGTCTAATTGATGGTCATGTCAAACAACGCCTCAACGGGGCTAATATACTACATGGAGCACAACATGATTTCATCACGAGAAGATTCTGTGTGGCAAATCTATTATTTGCTTGTAATGATTGGCCATCATGTTGGGATTTAAATATTGCATTCCATTTGATCCTCCTCGGCTTCGCAAAGGCATCTGACAAAGTTCAGCATGGAATTCCCTAATACCAAATATGCCAGGCGGGTACTGGAGGCCTGCTGCTCTCATGGACTAGGACTTGAACGAAGTGGACTCCTACACCTAGGTCAGTCGTGTCTGATCATCCTGGCACAGTTCGTCTTAAGAGGTTTCACATATTTCTGCCTTAGGACCCTTGATGTTTTTGATTTTTACCAGTGGCCTGAAACATCGTATAAACTGCCTGGCTTTCTTTTATTCTGACGGCTTAAAAATTTGAGGAACAATCAAATGTGTGGGAGAATCAAATAAAATAAAGGTGGACCTGAAAGTTCTGGAACACTGGGCACTTGTTGGTGATGTAACTCTGAATCTGAAACAAATCGAAGTAGTTCAACATGTACCTAAAGGCTGCTGAATTTAAGTTACCTCTTATGCAGTGATGACTTGTCCTGAGTAACTTCAGAACGCCAATTAGGTCTAGCTATAACTGAAAAATATTAACACAGGCGCGAATGACACGGTAGCGCGGAGATGGCACATACGGTTACATACTTTACGCGTAGGCATTTGGGTGTCCTCACTTTTTCTGAGATTGAACCAAACAAACATCAAACCCTATCTTGAAGCGCACAATGTCACTGTTGCTCCGTTGCTCAGAAGGGACAGTTCAGAGACGGGCAACGAAAGGAGTGATGGGTCTCAGGAATAAAACCATAAAATGAAAGGCTGAAGATATTATGTCTTCTAACGCTTAGTTACCGCTGGCTTAGGCAGGACCTAATTACTGCTCACAAGATCAAAAATAACCGGGATTACCCAAAGATATTCTAACAAAAAGTTATTTTGGGCTTCCTTGTGTCAATCTACAAAGGACAGCGCATCAGAGAGCAAGGAGTCCAGTGAGTTACCATTTCCTTTCTATTCAAGTTTGCCGCCCCTGGAACTCTTTACCAGAAGATGCGGCTACTGCATTGCCCATGATCAGCTTTAAGAGGATGGTGGTCAATCGTCCAGCGACAGGAGGACTGCATCTAAGTGGCCTATTTCCTTAAAACATGCTATTACCGGGTATACATTTAAACTCGTCATTTTACAATTGTCCATTCTCCCTTGTCTCATCCTCCTGGCTATCCCACCTGTTCATTCACTTGTTGTATTATTATTTGCATAAATATATATGCATTTATAATTGAACATCACATTTAGTTATCAGTGTGATACTCCTTTTTTTAAGTAGACGTAAGCTTCACTACTTATATCTGCTGTTACTACCACTTATTATTGATTGTTATTGTCCCTCTTTTCAACCACACCGGACAGCTGCTGGGTGAAAGGATCAACTCCATTCACAGCAGCTACACGGTCTTGACACACCACATTCTACAAACTACATGTAACAATTCCCAGCAACTATCCTCGTGGAGTCAACCAAAGGTACAATAGTCGCTTGGTGAGACATACTGCCCAAAATATTACCGAAGACCTGGAACTTCTACTTGATGGCCAAAAGGTGAACACAAAGAAATCAATTTCTTTTACACTACCTCGCAAAAACAATATTGGTTATGTTAGGAGTGTTGGTAAATCATCTACATCAAACCATTACTTAACACCAATAGGCGTGGATCAAGTATTCAAAAGCGTTTATAAAAGCCCTTCATATATACATTGCATGAGTGAAATGCTGATTGAAGTTTGAATTTCACGTTAGCGCCCAGCGATATTGGTTATCCCGCGTACTTTATTCTTTGCGCGTTGGTTTCAGTTTGTTGTTGTCACTCTCAGTATTTAATATTTTTATTTGCGTAAACTGAGTTATTTGAGTTTCGCTAACTAAAAACCTTGAAATACTACTCAACCTTCACTTTTCAGGATTAATTATAGCAGGTGGGTGGATGCCCAAGCTTACACTATAAAATTTCGGGCACAATTTTGGGGCAACTCAATGTAAAACTTTCAGTGAAATGCGTGGTTTTTCCCTTTATGACTTCTAAATCCCCGAAAAACCTCCAGATCTGTCCCCCAAATTTTCCCAAGAAACCCCAAAATCTGTATAAACTCCTCAAATTTTGTCCCAAAATAACCATGAAGTTTTTTTCTGAACTAACGATGTTTTTCTATGGGGATATCAAGTGACTTGATATTTCGTGAAAAATTTTACTCGGTTGCTTTTCCACATAACCCGACCTCATAACTTCAGTGCATACTAGGTTTCTTCAAGCCCATAAAACATCCCTTCCAGTATTGGATTGCATTGTTGATTCACACTTCAGAATTAGTTTAACATTATTGCCAGCTTGGGACGTTGGTAACTTATTCGTTTTTGTCTTGGTGTAGATATCTAGCTGTAATATTGCCTTGGAGAAATCAATAGACTCGTAGTTAGTAGTATTCACAGTACTGTATTGAAGGATTCTAATACTGTAAACACTCCCATAGATTTCCAGACGTCTGGATGTCATGTGAACTTAAGTGTGCTGAAAGTTTATTTTAATTGCCTCATCTAGAATACCGCATACAAGCGGCGGGTCCATGCTTCAAAAAGGAGGCACATATCCTGGAAAGAGTACAGAGAGTAGGAACGAAATTAGTTAATGGTATCTCACACCTTCCTTATGATAGGAGGATGGAGCATTTAAATCTCTCCCCGTTATCATACCGAAGGAAGAAAGGCGACCTAATTTTAGCATACCGTATACTTAAGGGTGATTTAGGAACTGACCTTTCTAAACTTTTCTCCCCTTCTAGGATACATTTACGGGGTCACCGCAAAAAGGTGCTCAAACCGAGGACGATTAAAATACGTGCAGAATTTAGATTCTCTCACAGTGGTCAACAACTGGAACTCCTTACCTGATTCAGTAGTATCAGCTCCATCGGTGAACGCTTTCAAAGAGAAGTTAAATCTCTGTAGAGATATATTTTGCAAGGATTAACAAAGGCCACAAGAGCCTTCTATCCTTATCATCTGAATCTGAATATAGTTATGCACATCGACCTTCAGTTTTCAACAATAATGATAGCGATTAATTCATTGAACACGGACTTCCACAATTTATCCATGCTTAAGCACTCAGAATTTTTTTTATAATGACGGTTTTGCAAATGTTCTCTGTCATAGAAAACAAGACAGACTAGCGTCGGTGGCACAGCGGTTAGGACTCCCGCCAACCGTGCACATGGTTCGGGGTTCGACCCCCTGCCGACGCACACCCGATATCAATGGTTGGCCTGCAAAATTTGGGCTACCGATATCATATGCTAAGAATTCCATACTTCTACCAAAAATACGGTTTGGAATCAAGCTATAATAAAAAAAGATTTATGTGATGCGGTTCATAGTTTTTAAATTTGATTTTCTAAAATACAGTTCAAATGGATGTAGTTGCCTTTAAGGTTTATTTTTAGATTGTCATACTGATCTCCATATTTTGGAGAAGCAATCATATAATGATATATGTTCTGTTGTTATCTTTTATGTCGAGGTCTACCTTATCCAAAAAACTGTTAGTTAAAATTTAAGCATCAGGAGTTGAATTGTGTGCATATTATCGAATGACTTATAGTAATGAATAATCGTGCTTCAGGTGTCAAAATGAACATTTAAGGCTAGATTCTAAAGTTATTTACTTGCACGCTATACAGTGTGAAAAGGTATTAAAGTTCTGCTGTGATTGTTGTAAATCTTATATGACATTGCTGTGGAATCACCACAGTATCAGTATGGTATTATTGAAATGACCTGTGATTCAGATTCAGATTTATTGGTTAAGGATAGAAAGTTAATCCTTTTCCAGTAAATTTCTGTGCTTGTCCAAACCCTTCTTGAATGAATCAACTGAGGTTGCAGACACCACTTTTTCTGGAAGTCGGTTCCAGGAGTTTATGACTCGGTGTGTGTAAGAACCAGTACTCTACAGCAATATAGTTTCTCTTTGGCTTTTGAACTGTCCAGCTATGTCCTCCAAGGTGTTCCCACCTGGTGGGAAGGAAAAGAGAGAATAGATCAGGTCCGTAGTCATTATTTAAAATTTTAAACATTGTAATTAAATCTCCTCTCTGCCTACGGTATGGCAGGGAGAAGAGATTTAAACTGTTTAGTCTTTCGTCATATGATAAATTAGTCATGCTGAGAGTCATAGGTGTTGCTTACTTTCTAGGATATATGAATCCCCTTTAAGAGAAGGACTGGTTGCCTGGATATAGTTTTCCGGTGTTGACCCCACCAGAGATGTATATAAAGAGGTGAGCATATCTGTGGTAATTCTAGTAAAGGCTCTGTGAATTGCCGATAAAGGTCTGAGACAACGTGCTGCCACTGCGTGACAATGTGCTGTAGTTTTTAAATCGTGACTTACTATGACACCTAAATCCAAATGGGTCTGAATTGATGGGAGTGTCATTCCCTGTAGTTCGTAGGAGCTGACGTTTGCTTGTCCAATGCACATGCTTGCACATTTCGCTACTTTGATTGGGAGCACCCATTCTTTGTACCATGCTAACAATTTATTGGGGTCCCCTTGCAATATGAACGTATTTCTGTTGCCCTTCAGCTCCATCCTCCAAATTTCTAAGTCATCTTCGTATAGGGCCATAGGGGAATCGGTGGACACAGATAACTCATTGATATACAAAAATAAATAACAGGGGCTTGAGTAGTGCCTTGCGGCACTTCAACACGTACTACTGTCTAAGAGAAGAGTTTTTAGTTGATCCTGACACTATCTCCAGAGAGCATGTCATTATAGAAATGAGATGCGAGCTCAGCATTATTCCATAACGAAAACTCATGTAGAAGCCTATTCCAAGTTTCAATAAAAAGAAAACACTGAGTCTTTGTAGAAATCACATCTCATTACTGACAATTTGAATATAGACATTGGGACATTCTTTTGAACAGATAAAATTGATACATTTTCTTTTCTATATAGATAATCGAATTCTCAACATAATATCAATAAAATCCTCCATCGTTGTAACTGAGTAATGCCTAATAATAACACAAATGAAGATGATTGGGAGACGGAACCTGATTTTGTGGTATTTACACCATTTCAATATGAATAGAATTAATCAATATATTTCAATATAGAATGATGTAACTGAAAAAGAGCAAAGATGGGGTTCTAAAACTGTTGCTGGTTCTGGACATCAAGCTTCTATAGAGTAAGTGTTTTATGCAATTTTATTGTTTGATTTTATTAGGATACGGATGTGGGGAGTGTTTCTTAATTGATTCAATGAGTCTTAATCACTCACAAACGGTATTAATGCCTAAGTACCTTTTATTATTATTATTGTTCCCTTGGGTTCCTAGTGGAACATAGGGCTTCAACTACACGTCTCCACTTGCTTCTGTCTTCTGCTGTACTTTTCACTTGCATCCATGTTAGTGCATACTGTTTCAATTCCTCTTAGATCTCCTCCATGTCACCCTTGCACCGACGTCCCACTCGCCGCTTCCCTTTCGGGTTCCACTCGAGCACTGGCCTGACGCGCGATGTCACCCAGCGGACGCCTCAGTGAGTGTCCAATCCATCTCCACTTTCTCCTGCATATTTGCTGAGCGATTGGTTCTTGTTTTGTTTGTCCCCATAGTTTCTTGTTGGTGATTCTTTCCGGCCAACTGATCTTCAGTATAGAGCGAAGACAGTTGTTGATAAAGGTCTGCAATAGGCTGTTGGAAATATTCTTAGTGACTCGCCAAGTTTCTGATCCGTATAGAAGAACTGACTGACTTGACGTTTGTATTGAAAATCCGAATCATTTTGTTGTTGATGGTGAGTGACGAAGATTTCCAGATTGGTTTCAGGTTGATGAATGTGTTTCTCGCCTTCCCGATTCTCGATTTGACATCCTCGTCCGTTCCTCCTGTAGTTGAGACACTGCCCCCTAGATAAGTGAATGAAGTAACCTCTTTCAAATCCCTCCCGTTGATGGTGATTGGCGCTGGATGTTGCTGTTGTTGTTGTTGGCTGGTTATTTTCATAACCTGCATCTTGTCTATTTTCACCTGGAGTCCTGTCTTTGCTGCTTCTTCGACCAGTTTGTCAGTTTTCGCTTGTAAGTCTTCGATTTTGTGTGACATCAAACATAAATCATCCACACGCGAAATCCAGGTCTTCTAGGTTCTTCACGTCGGTGGTTCAGGATATCCCTGTCTTCTCGTTTCCTACTGTCTGACGCATAATCCAGTCCACCACAATTAGGAATATCATTGGTGATAATAAGCACCCTTGTCTGACTCCTGTGTTTAATCCGAACGCCTCGCTGAGTTTTCCGTTGTGGATCGCTTGACATGTGCCGTTGTCGTACAGCTGTTGAATAAGGTACGCCGTAGTAAAGTACCTTTTAAGGAGTACCTTTTAAAACAGCTGATTTCAGAGATCATTATGAAGTGTTTTATTTACACAGTGTCTATTTCTAGTCAGTTTGACAAATCATTGTCCTATGGGTATTGTCGTGACGTGTCTCACTGCTAGGTAAGGAGGGTTAGTCAATAGATCAGGTTATGAAGCTTCACCGATTGAGATTACTTAGTCTCATTTTGTGCACATGCCAAGCAGTGCGAGTCTACTTAGAGTTTGAAGGGGAGTTGGGCTAAACCGACTACTAATTTAAATCACATAAAAAGCTGTAGGTTACTTGGTTGAGGTCCGCCTAACTAGGTGGCCTCCATCGCCAAATCAACGTTGGATTCAAATAGCTGCCTCTAGTCTGAAACGAGGCAAAGCAGCGGGACTTAATGGAATGACTCAAGAGGTATTTAGGTACGGTGGAGACAGTTCACTATCTGCGTTAACTAAGGTATTAAGCAATGTCGTGGAATCAGAGGAAGTCCCGTTGGGCTGGTGTAAGTTATTGATTATCCCGATATAGAAGAAAGGAGACAAGTCTTCTTGTGATAATCACAGGGTGATTAGCTTGACCAATATGGTATTTAAAGTTCTAGGCTCAATAATCATACATTGACTAAGTAATTCACGAAAGAAACAGGCAGGCTTTAGACCAAGAAGACGGTGCATTGATCATATCCTCAACCTTCGAAAGATTCTGGAACATAGGCATATTTACCGGCGTCCAACAATCGTTATATTTCTTGAGGTAAAGGCGGCATTCGATCCCGTCAACGGAGAGGTACTATGCCGATGGTTGGCTGTAAAAGGAATGCCGAGAAAATACATCGCACTGGTCAAGGCAGTCTACTCGAACTCTTGCAGCCAGCGAGTTGAGAGCCTAGAGAGAGAGAGTTGTCATTTGAAGTGGTGACAACCAGTGGTGTCCGTCAGGGATGTCCACTGTCCCTATATCTGTTTAGTTTCATCATAGATGTACTAATAGAATTAACCCTAATTCACTTCAGCGACTCAGCGATTGACTTGCTACCATCAGGGAATAATGTCGTTGACTTAGAATATGCGGATGACATAGTTCTCCCACCTAGGTGACGACGCTGACAAAATGCAGAGTACACCTTGAGCAGCAGTCTTCGAGTGTTTGGCAAGCGATTCGCTCCTGTCAAATGTAAGATGATGATGCTACAGGACTGGGCTACATTGATTCACTCCTAGCTCAGAGACAGAGGGAGTGAAGTGGTAGGGCGTGTTGACCACTTCACTTACTTGGGGAGTTGCATCGGCCCCAACAGGTTGATTTGTGACGAAATCTCAACACGGATACAGAAGGCTCGTTTAGTATTTTCCAAGTTACGCCATCTCTGGCGAAGAAATGATATCCGGCTGGCTATCTACCAAAGGATGTCTGTACTGGATAGCACCAGTTCTCTCTGTTCTCCTTTATGGCTGGCTGTGAGACCTGGCCATTGAGAGTGGAAGACATGGAAAGGCTGGTCAGCTGTCTTCGATGATAGGTGTCTGTGTTCTATCTCCCATCTTAAATCGTATAATAAGGTGAGCAATATTGACGTGAGGCATCAGTTGAGTGAGTGCTAGGTAAGGAGGGAAAATCAGTCGACGACTGAGGGAGTTGGTTAGGACATGTGTAACTGTGTTACAGGTTGGAAAAGAGCTAGTTAGTGGTAGTCAAACGAAAACATGTCTTTATCAGTCAATCAAATCCATAACCGATAGTTTAAGTCACGTAGGGAAGCGTAGACTTCCTGCCAGTGTGGTTGCGGTCTTCGGAATCTTTTTTTATCCTTCGAGTTCCTCAGTGGAACTTAGGGCTTCAAGCTAGTGGCTTGAAGTTTCTGTAGTAGTGTTTATTTTACAGGATGGGGTTGCTAGCCTCATGCCCAACCTTTCCCCTTCACTAGCATTATTTCTGGCTTAGCGAGGTAAAGGAGTTTGTCGGCCGGGGATCGACCGAATGGTAGGTAGGAACCAATGAAGGCTGGAGACAGTTGGTGATATGGCTCAAAATCCCAGTTGTCAATGGCTGATGAAGATGTATTAACTCTTTGTGACTTGTCATATTCAATAGAAGTCTATTGCTCTTTCATATTACTACTACTACTCTTTTTCCCTCATTCACACTTCTGTTTATTATCTCTCTTTTGTTGAGTCTCTTTTTACTCTCTTCTGTTACTTTGTGTAGTACATGGAGGGAGTGTGGCAACTGCACATCTATGCAGAGTTCTGTGTTGAAACCAGTCAGTTAAAATTCTTATGCAAATCATATGTGGTTGTTAGAGAGACTTTTTTATTTTGAATTCTGCATGAGATGAGATTGCTATTCAGTAACCACTTACAATTCGATGCAGCTGAGGAATGAGCTACTTATGCATTATGTGTGTGTGTGTGTGTGAAGACTAGTGATACTTATTAACTGACTGCCCGAATCTTGAAAGATGGAGTTAGTGGGGCTGGAAGCTGTGACCCACTGGTAGGCTGGAGGTTGAATACCTAAACCAATGAGCTATAGCTCCACTTGAACTCTGTACATTCAAAAATAAAATTGACCCATGTCTCCCTTTCAAATGAGGCTAATTGACTGAGTTTCAACGTAGAACGCTTTACACAGAAGTGCATCAGTGTTCAACTTGCCATGTGTAGCACACGAATGTAGACAAAAGACGAAGAAAATAAGATTTAAAAAGGTTTGTATTGAACGGAAATATGGAGAAGAAAGTTTAGAATTGTGGAAAAAACAAACAGGTGATTATTATTATTTATTATTGTTCCCTTGGGTTCCTAGTGGAACATAGGGCTTCAACTGCACGTCTCCACTTGCTTCTGTCTTCTGCTGTACTTCTCACCTGCGTCCATGTTAGTCCATACTGTTTCAACTCTTCTTCACACGATCTCCTCCATGTCACCTTTGGACGTCCCACTTGCCTCCTCCCTTTCGGGTTCCACTCGAGGGCCTGACGAGCAATGTCACCCAGTGGCCTCCTCAGCCAGTGTCCAATCCATCTCCACTTTCTCCTGCATATTTGTTGGGCGATTGGTTCTTGTTTTGTTTGTTCCCATAGTTTCTTGTTGATTCTTGTTCTTTCCGGCCATCTGATCTTGAGTATAGAGCCAGTGAAGACAGTTGTTGATGAAGGTCTGCAACAGGCTGTTGGAAATATTTTTTGTGACCCGCCAAGTTTCTGATCCATCCGTATAGAAGAACTGACTGACTTGACGTTTGTAGTGAAAATCCGAATCACTTTGTTGTTGATGCTGAGTTACGAAGATTTCCAGATTGATTTCAGGTTGGTGAATGTGTTTCTCGCCTTCCAGATTCTCGATTTGACATCGTCGTCCGTTCCTCGTGTAGTTGAGACAATGCTCCCTAGATAAGTGAATGAAGTAACCTCTTTCAAATCGCTCCCGTTGATAGTGATTGGCGGTGGATGTTGCTGCTGTTGTTGTTTGTTTATTTTCATAACATCCGTCTTGTCTTTGCTGCTTCTTCGACCAGTTTGTCGGTTTTCGCTTGTAAGTCTTCGATTTTGTGTGACATTAAACATAAGTCATCCGCGAAATCCAGGTCTTCTAGGTTCTTCACGTCGGTGGTCCAGGATATCTCTGTCTTCTCGTTTCCCACTGTCTGACGCATAATCCAGTCCACCACAATTAGGAATATCATTGGTGATAATAAGCACCCTTGTCTGACTCCTGTGTTTACTCCAAACGCCTCGCTGAGTTTGTGATTGTTCAGTGAATATTTGCGATTAGGAAAGCATGTGTGAATGCATCTACGAAACTGAAAACGATTTTGATCCATATTTGCGATAGTCTCCGGCTGCTATAATGGTTCTTAGAATCCTTAGGACCCCAAATTAGGGAGCTTCTATGCCTCTCTATGTAGCTGGTTCAAGCCAACTTTCAAAGACTTGATGAACTAACTCTTTTCCAACCTAATCTTATTTCAGCTTGTCGACGGAGGCAATACCTCAGTATGCGTAGCATGTATCCCTAGCTGTCTCAGTCTATGTAGATTCACAACCTTATCGATCGACTTACCCTCCTTACCTCACATCCTACGCCTCTAACCGTTTACCAACCTCATCCAATGTTGGTTAACATAGCCTGTCGAGTGCATTTCAGGCATTCTAAAAGGATCTGACCAGGGTGTTTATCTTACCCTCGTTTAACTTGATATATTTCCACTCTTTTATCCAACTAGATAAACATATATATAATGATGTTATGCTTACATATATCTTTGCATTTCTCTAAAAGTATGGCAGCATTAAGAGAAGAAGTGAAACAGGCGGATCGTTTAGCTAAACTAAAGATTGCACCTAAACCATCCTATGGATATGGTGGAAAATTCGGTGTTGAACAAGATCGTATGGATAAGGTTAGTTTTTTCTTTCTTTCTTCTTTCTTTAAAGGATTGTACTCTGTTTTTTGTAATACGTTTGTGGTGTGTGAAGACAAATACTCGCTAGCGATAACATTGGCTAGTGGTTGGTTGTGTCATATCGTGAATTGGCAGAAGTTGGAATTCACCGACGGGCCATTCGATCGGGTTTTAGTGATTGGCTTGAAGAGTCCCCAACTAGGACGAAACAGCTACCCAGCACTCCTAGCTGGTTTTCCAATGTTCCTCTGACCGATGTCAGTTGATAATGGAACCCTGTCAAAAATATTTTACGTTGATGGGGAAAAAGGAAGACAGGCATTTTAAGCTACAGTAACACCTGTCTGATTCCATTATGGGTAAATTTTATTTTGATAAAGTCTCACAGTGTTATACAGTAATATTTACTGATGACGTTTTGGTCACAATTTATTGCTACTCATAATCATATCATATCGCTTATATCATATCATGACCTTGATATGATTGTGAGCAATAAATTGTGACCGAAACGTCATCAGTAAATATTACTGTATAACACTGTGAGACTTTATCAAAATAAAATTTACCCATAATGGAATTACTCGGAAGTGGCTTTAGAAGTGAAAGTTAAAAGTTGTAAATTACGTGGTACTCAACGGCACAAAGATAGAAATTTGATAAGGTTAAAATTGCTATTGAGTGAGAATAAAGGTGATAGTTGAGTGTCAATTTAACGAGTGTGAAAAGGGTGTGAAAATGTACAGAGTGATAATAGTGAATTAATTATTCAAGTAAAAGCAAACTAAAAGTAAAATTTTAAATTAGAAAAGAAAAGAAAAAATCAAAATTTTTCACAGGGAACGACTGGTGAAGAGGTTAAGACCTAAGTAGAATAAGAGACTGGACAAACTTTTTTTGTATACAGAGTTCGGGGTTGTATTGATGAATTGCCAGCGCTTGGTGAACTCAGGCCATGTAGCTCCACCAGAGTCGTTTTTCAAGATCATCCACAAGGTGAGGCTAAGTGGTACAAAGGGCGTCAAGTTTCGGCTTTTGTGTATGGCGGAGGCGCTGACAATTCATCAATACAACCCCTGAACTCTGTATACAGAAAAAGTTTGTCTAGTCTCTTATTCTACCTTGGTCTTAGTCTGTTCACTAGTCGTTCCCTGTAAAAAAGAATTCGATCTTTTCTTTTCCTTTTTTAATTTTACTTCTAGTTTGCTTTTGCTCTAATAATTAATTCACTATTATCACTCTCATATGCTCCTTTCGTGCATTTTCACACTCTCTTCACAATTGTTAAATTGACATTCAACTACCGACTTTCTTCTCACTCAATAGCAATTTTAACCTTATCAAATTTCTATCTTTGGGTCGTTGAGTACCACGTAATTTACAACTTTAAATTTCTACTTCTAAAGCCACTTCAGAGTAATCATATCAATTATGTCACCCCCTATTACTCAATAATAGACCACTATACATAATGGAATTATACTCTACCACAGTGTACAAGTTCTATTCTTATATTAACACCTGTCTAGATTTAGATAATAATGGGCACTCATGATATAGGACAATCTGTATGTTTTCAGAGGCTAATACAATTTAAGCACAAACTTGGTGTATTATAGACGAAAGAGATTCGCCGCATAAAATCTTATAGTTTGTTTAAAGGTTTGGAAGCTGCTCGGCCGCCTAGATCGAAGTGACCTGGTCTTCAGGGGGGACTACCCTCTACCCTTTAACTTAAAGTCTTATCCACTAGGTAGTTGATCAGCGTCAGGAGCTACGTTCCCATGGTTTCCGGTAACCGAAACAGGTTTATACACCAGTTGGTCCTTTCGGATTCTAGAACCCATGTACACCATATGTTTGGAATCAGGATTTTCCAGCTGCCCTTCTTATGTAGAACAGTATATTCACTAGTTTGGTTGTAGTTGTCACACATTCGGATTCGCCCTTTTACTTTTGCGTGGAACAACCTCAACGCCACGTGAAGGCAGTGAATAGGACTTACCTTGACTACATGGGAGCATTTCAGGAGGAAGACCGAAGTCTACCCACCCTCGGTTGTACCAGGTCCTTTATGAGGGTTAATTGATACTTAATACATAAAGGAAGATGTTCCCTTGGGTTCCGAGTAGAAAATAGGGCTTCAACAGCACACATCAACTTTGTCCTTCCCTCTGCGGTCCTCTTCACCTAGCCCCACGATTGTCGACAATCCCTGATCTCCTCCATTTCGCCCTCGAGGTGATTCCCCACTCATCGTTCCCCATTCGGGTTCCACTCGAGTTGTGGCTTGATGTTAGCATACGATGTAATTCGATGGTCTCCTCAGTGTGTGCCCGATCCACTTCCATTTCCTTCTACATATCTGGGTGAGCAGTCGGTTCTTAGTTGGTTTAACTCTCATAGTTTCTTGTTTTTAATTCTTTCTGGTGACAGCCATTTGACCTCCAATGTCAAGCTAGAGAAGGTGGGCAGCTGTTGATAAAAGTCTACAACCTAGGAAGCCACCATCCTTTCAACTACAGACAGTTAAAACGGATGAGGATGTCAAAACCAGTCACAATTGGAAAGGTAAGACAGGCACCTCCATCAGTTCAGAAGTCTTCTGCACACCACAGTATAAAGAAGAAAATTGGGATTTTCGACACCAATATTAAGTCAGTCAGTTCTTCTATGTGCGTCGGAAACTTGTCTAGGGTGTCAGGAAAAGCTTTTCCAACAGACCACCCCAGACTTTTATCAACAGCTGCCCACCTTCTCTGGCATCATATTGAAGATCAAGTGGGTGATCAGAAAGAATTAACAACACGAAAATATGGGAGTTACACCAACTAAGAACCGACTGCTCAATCAAATATGTAGAAAATAAATAGAAATCGATTGGGCACACACTGAGGAGACCATCGAATTACATCGCGTTCTAACATCAAGCCATAACTCGAGTGGAACCTGAATGGGAAACGATGAGTAGGGAATCACCTCGAGGGCGAAATGGAGGAGATCAAAGATTGTCGACAATCGTGGGGCTAGGTGAAGAGAACCGCAGAAGCAAAGAAAAACTGGATATGTTTTTTTGAAGCCCTAGAGAAACATAATTATTTATTATTATTTAAACGCATAAGAAAACTTGGTACAATATGGCACCAAGAAAGATGCGCCACACAATAATAATAAAACAACATAGATTAAAAGTAAAAATATAAGTAGAAAACGGATAAACAACTTCATCTGGAAGGAAAACAGTCATGTTTAATAAGTTCAAACAGTATTCGTTAACTATCGTCAGGAAGTGAAGAAAGAAAGAAATTGCAGCAGGTTCGCCATTGATTACAATTCTTGGCCATATCCGATAACGTTTCGAGCTATCGCGCGGACCCCAACCAGGGAGTCGTGACACACCAACCGATGCTAATCTAGCACACATATCCTTCATCCCACGACGCCACGTCATGGGCTGACCACCCCTCCGCCTTTTCCATCCCGTCCCAGCGCTGGCTAGCGAACAGAGACCTGTACGGAAGCCTCTGGGATGACATTCACAGCACATGTCCAAATCACCGGAGCCGGTATTTCCAGATGACGACACTCAATGAATGGTGATCTCCACCACTGTGTTCAAACACACGCCTCCGAACCTCAGAATTACTCACGCGATGATGCCATCGAACGCAAGCAATCCTCCGGAGACAGCTATGTTCGAACACGCAGAGTCGCCGCACATCCACAGCTCGGAGAGGACAGGTTTCACATTGAAGCGCACCGGAGAGTATTGAACAACTGCACTTCCCCCTAAGATTGAGACTCTTCAGTCAATAGTACACACCCGCACAAGTCCTTCAGGTGTTACAAGGCGAATCCAATGACGATTTATTCAGCTAGTGGGATTAGAATCCAATAGTCCATGAATATTTTGACTTGTGTCAATTCCTGAGCTGTATGTACTGCCACTGCTAGCCGCCAGCCAATATCATTGGCGAATATCCGTATAAAAATCAATTTGTTTCCCACCCATACAGACAGGAGTAATTCTCTACTCCACTGAAATACATCATACTCAGACTTTTCACACATTCTGTTGTCTGTTGCTAAGTATTTATCAATAATTTTACTCATATATATAATGAATGTGTGTATGTGTTGAGTTTATGAGGCGTGTATTTATTGATTGTTTATTTCATCAAATATATTGATTTATTTTTGAGCATATGATTTAATTATCACGTGTTCATGTGATGATGAGTGTTAAATGAGAATGAATATTCACCTTTGTTTGCTTCTCTCCATCTCTCTCTAGTCTGCAGTAGATTGGAGTCATGTTGAAACCACAGAGAAGCATACTTCACAAAAGGATTATGCTAAAGGATTTGGCGGTAAATACGGTGTACAAACTGATCGTCAAGATAAGGTGAGTAGTTTTCTTCACTGTGCATAATTGTTAAATCATGAGCGGTATTCATTTCTCTCTCTGTGTGTGTGTGTGTGTGTGTGAAGATTTGCGTCTGTATCTTAAGAAGCTGACATATATGTTGATGTGGTTGTGTTCTCTGAGTTGGATAGTTAATTTGCGAAGCTTTCATTGTCCCATCACTAGGCAACATCTTCAGTGCATACTTCAATGAGAAGTGAGCTTCTGAGATTTCTCCACGGGTTTATTTGTCATCTCTCCTGGTGATCACCCTGAACGTGACTGGTTGTTTTTGTGTGTTTTCATACCCTCTAGGTTACTTGAATTGGAACTGATTGTTTCCCTGACTTGAACTTTGACCCTTTTGTGTGTGAGGTTTCCTTCTTATCGGTTGGTAAATTTTGTCTATCTCGTTGTCTCTATTGATTGATGATTCACTGGAATACCAGGCAGGCTTCTAAAAATTCTCTAGCATTCTTGGTGTTTCCTCTGTCTAATATTTGAATGCTGGTTGTCCCAGTCGAATTGATTTCCGTGGATTTCTGTATGCGGTGATATGACTGAGGAAGTGGATGTCATGTCTTTTGACGGCTAGCTTATGCTCATGCATGCGAAGACGAAGGGGACGTTCACTTTGACCAATGTAGTGTTTTTCGCAGTTGATACAATCTATTTTGTAGATGGTGTTAGTTTTATCTTCTTTCGTTGTTGAGTCTTTTGGTTGACATAGAGCAGGCTGAGTGAAGTGACTTTGTTGGTGTTTGTGTGCAACGTCAATTCCTGAAGGTTTGAAGAGTCTTGCAGTGATTTCTGAGATGTCCTTTATATATTGGTTGGGCGATTTTCTTTGTGCTTTGTGCTGACATATATGCTGCTTAACTGACTGACTGGCTGACTGACTTAGCAATGTAGAAATTAACACAAAAGTCCAATAAACCAAGTTCCTTCACATCTCAGAAACGCACACAAAAGTAGAGAGAGAGAGAGAGGTAATGAACGGCGGTTAGTAGTGAAGAAGTTCGAAATACAGATGACAACAAAGAGTCAGTACGTCTCCACCATTGTGCACAGTCTCCAGTTAATTGATTCTTAGCATTACGAGTAACCCAGATACAAGGCCTTTATCTCTCTTCATGCTTCAAACAGACAGTCAAATATTTTATGGCGAAAATATTCATTCAGACATCTATAAAACACAAAATAATTGAGCAAAGAATATCCTTTCCGATAATTTCCTCTTCTGGCTCTACAATTATATATATATATCTTTCTTTTTAATTTATGTATAAATAAGTGTACATTATTTTGTTGTTTAAGTCAGCTGTTGGTTGGGATCATAAAGAGACGACAGAAAAGCATTCATCACAGAAAGACTATTCCACTGGATTCGGTGGTAAATATGGTGTTCAAAAAGACAGACAAGATAAGGTAAGCATTCCAAAACATGTATTATATTGTGTATTGATTAATGGAACGCTTTCTCCCCCCTTCCTCCTTTGCTTATTCAACTGTTATCAGATAGAGCTGGATGGAGCTATCTATGGCTGATTGATTGGTCTCTAAGCTCTTGCAGTTTCAACCAGTGAATCTCGTGTCGGAATCCACCCCCCCTCCCACTTCACCGACTGGGATTTGAGTAGCCTGGTAGTATCACTAGCGCTGCATGGGCGCGGAAATGCAATTAGTAGCAATTAGTAACATACTAGTTTTATACCTTATTTTAGGCGTTTGAAGTGTGCAATATGTCAGGAATACAATTTTTAGAGGTTATTGTTTCAGCATATATTCTGTCAAGAACCGAACAGATCAGTTAGAGTATATCATTGAAAATCAGAGAGCACTAGACGGCTGTTTCATCCCAATTTGGGACTCTTCTAGTAGTGTATACTGACGACGAAACCTGGGACTTTCAGAGGTTATGAGATCAAGCTCCATTGACCATTTAACCACTTGAGTCTTTGGGTTCCTAGTGAAACATAAGACTTCATCACGATATCACCATTTCACTCTTATTCTGTGGCGTCTTTTTGTGTATCTGCCTTCATGATTACCTATAGGCGTTTATTTCCTTCTCACACGATCATCTACTCCATGTTACCCTCAAATTTCCCGTTTCTCATTCAGGCCTGATTTGAGGACTAGTGACAAAATTGAATTGTTAGCACAGCAGAAGTTGGCAATATTATAAGTGTATATATCAGTAGAGAGAGAAAGACATAGAGGGGTAAAAGGGAAGTTTATCCAACGATAAGAAGGATGGATAATGGTAGTAGAAAATAAAGCCCCTCAGCGCATAAAGAAGTCCGTAAATAAGTGATCCTTCCTGATGGCTTATATCATGGAAATTTATTTCCTCATGAAACATCCGAAAAAGAGTATTATTAAGGCAGATATTAAGAGCTGATCGGTTAACAAATATGTAGGAGAAAATGAAGATGGATCGGGCATACATTGAGGAGAACGTCGAATGAAATCGCGCGCTAGGCCAACGCTCGAGTGGAATCCTATTGGGAAGTGTCGAGTGGGTGAGTCGTCAGTACGAGGGTGACATGGAGGAGATGAGAGATTGTGAGCAATCGTGGACCCAGCTGAAGAGGACTGCAGAAGATAGGACAAAATGGAAATGTGTTGGTGAAGCCCTATGTTCCACTCACGGAACTCAAGGGAATAATAAACAACAATAATTAGAAGAAGGAAGATATTATCGACTTTGGACTGAATTACAAATGCTTCAAGCTGATTTCTATAAAAAAAGCTCTTAATTTAAAATGAACTGTGTTTTCTCCCAACTGAATTGTCTCTTGACACTAATGAGGAGCGTCTTTGCGAAGCTGTCGTAATACCTTGAAACTTTACACAGAATTGTAACAGTTCAAGTTGTTGCATTACATCTATCACACACACATAAATAGATAGAAGAAAGAAGACATATGAAAGAACCTTAATAAGCAGCAATGTTTTCAGTGCACACAGAGTGAAGAGGAAGTGAAGAGCCATCAAGTAGAGGAGTTGCATTAGTAGAAGGATGGCAAGATAATAGAGATGAAGATGAAGACAAAGATGAGTGAGGATTAGAGAGGTTTCGCGTGCATTTCGGATTGTGAGGGCGATTGTTACTTCCCGCCTGCCCACACACAGTGGAAGTTGGTCGCGTGACCGCAGAGCCCAAGGAACAACTGCTTGAGGCCGATCACACGCGGCCTGTTTTTGTTTGTTCTTTCTTGTTTGGTGTGTCTCAGTAGCATATTTGTCACTTCTGCCCTGTGACACGGCAGCAGGAAGCGCGGTCGTTGTTAATCCGGGCCCCGACCGATCCGGCATGATATTTTGTGATTTATTTGAAGTCATAGCATTGGGTTGGGTAACTGCTTTTTGTCTAATCGCTATCCAAACAACCTTTCTGGCATGGCAGGACCTCAAGCGACATAATTCTCAGCCAGTATAGCTTGTTGGGTCATTGCGGTGTTCAAGCCCGACCACCACGTCAAGGTAGCAGCTTTCGGTCGGGAAGCAGAAATGTCAGGGATGAAGAATAGTAATATAGAAAGACATGAGGGTTCAATAGATATGAGAGATCACAAATAGTGAATGGATCTGTGCCATTGAGAATAACCTTGAATTATAACACCAATAGTCTCCATCCATTAGTTCTGAACATCCTTGGAAGCCCAACCCGACAGTTCGAACCTCCCTACGTGTTTGACTCAAACCAGGCTAGCCGTCTTTGATCATAGATATCTGCGTTCTATCTTCCGTCTTAAATAGTATGATAAGGTGAGCAATATTGAGGTGAGGCATCGGTCGAGTGAGTGCTAGCTAAGGAGGGAAGATCAGTCGAAGAGGTTGGGAAGTTACATCGATTGAAAGAGATGGTTAAGACATGTGTTACGCCTAGGCATCGATTGCCTTTCTCGAGTGACGGGAAATGTCAGCTGACTGACACAGGATGGATCAGGTTGGCAAATAGCTAGCACGTGATGGTCAAATCAGAACATGACTTCATCAGTCAATCAAATCCATAACTGATGGTTTAAACCACGCAGGGATGTGTAGACTTCCTAATTGACTGCTTGGGGTCCTCAGGATGGTGAGAACCAATGAAGACTGGAGACAATTGGTAATATGGCTCAAAATGTAATGACAGAAGGCAAGATTCAGGCAACAGATCATTTATTAAGGAAATCAACGCATATTTATATATTTTCATGTACATTACTATGGCTATTTAAGTAAACAAACACAGTCTTCCGATTGGTTGTTTCTCACGTAAAGTTAACCTTTCATCTATTTGTGACTGTTTCTTGAATATCAAATCCTCTATATGTTAACTGCATCCGCCTACGCAAAGTATGCTGTGGTCGGTTTTGAATCAATCTTTGTTCACATTTTCTCACGACAAATCTTGGGAACGTAAATATTGACGTAAATTACTGTCTACTAATTTGGCTAGTAGACAGCTCTCACCACAAAAATAGTTCTAAGTGATGGCTGGTGCAGATGTATTCTATTTAAAACGTGAAGGAATAAAGTAAAATAAAAGATAAATGGAACATAAAAATTCAAGTACATCCATCAGTTGACGAGTTGCCTCATAGATTCCACTGATAACCACCATCAATAAAATATTTTTTTATCGCTTAATTTTTTCCTTTCTTTCGTCCTTTCTAATCTAGTCAGCTTTAGGCTGGGATCATCATGAAAAGCCAGAGTGTCATCCATCTCAAGTGGATTATGCTAAAGGTTTCGGTGGAAAATTCGGTGTACAAACTGATCGGGTGGATTCCTCTTCAGTTGGTTGGAATGAAACGAATAAAACAGAGCTGCATCCATCACAAATGAAAGGTATTCTTAAGATATCACACCTAATTCGATTTGCATTATTATTATTGTTATTATATACTAATCATTCTTTACGTTCCTAGTGGGTAGTAGAGCCTCAGAGACACTTGATTCTCTGGCTCCACGACTTCTGTTATGATTTCATTTCTTTCTCACACATGATCTTCTCCATGTCACTCTCAAACGCCCAAATCGTTGCCTCCTATTCGAGTCCCACTTGAGGGCCTGAATTGTGATGTCGTTCAGCAGTTTCCTCATCACAGTATTTCCAATGCATCTCCTTGGGCGCTATTTTGTTGGATGGTTCCTTGTTGCTTATCCTTTCTGATTATTTAGTCATCAGTACGCGGGGAAGGGAGGGAAATAGATTACTTCCTTCACTTATGTAGGCAGCATTGTTTCAACTGCAGGCAGTTGGAACGGATGAGGATGTCAAAGCCAGTCTGAATCGGAAAGGCAAGACGGCCACCTTCATCAATCTAAAGGAAGTCGTGACCAGTAGGATGCAGCAGGTCGGGTGTGAGGACAAATACTTGCCGAAGACATTGGCTAGGGGTTGCGCTATATCGTGAATTGGCAAAAGTCAGAATTCATGGGCCATTGGATCGAGTCCCAGTGGCTTAATGGTATACGAGCTCACCTTGTAACCAGAAGTTCCTGGGTTCGAACCCTGTCGGTGGGTGTATACTGTGAAGAGTCCCAAAGTAGGACGAAACAGCTGTCCAGTACTCCCAGGTGGTTCTCCAATGGTTCTTTAACCAATGTCAGCTCATGATGAAATCCTGTAAGCAATCTGAAATCACTTTGGAAATCTTCTGCACTCCACAGCATGAGGAAGAAAATTCGAATTTTCAACACAAATGCTAAGTCAGTCAGTTCTTCTATGTGCATCAGAAACTCGGCTAACACGTCACGAAAAGCATTTCCAACAGCTGCCTCCTTCACTGGTTCTACACTGAAGATCAGCTGTTCGGTGAGGAAGAATTAACAGCAAGAAACTCTGGGAACTAACCAACAGGCAAGAACCTATTGGTCAAAAAATATGTGGAAGAAAATGGAGATGGATGAGAGACGTTGAGGAGACCTTCAAGTGACACTCCACGCCAGCCCCTCGAGTGTAACCCGACTAGGGCATCCAAGGCTGGCGTGGAAGAGATCGTGTGGGGTGAGGGGAGGAGATAAGAGCTTTTGGGCGATTGTTCGGCCGGTTGAAGAAGACTTCAGAGAACAGAACAAAGTGGAGATGTTCTGTTGAAGCTCTATGTTCTACTCGGAACCAAAGAGAATAATAATAAGAATAATAACAATGGAGGGAAGGCAGGTGTTAATGTGAAGAAAGTGTGCTACAGCCTTTTAAAAATGCTCTCAGTGACGTATGTGTGTCAAGTCTATGGAAGAACTGACTGACTTGGTCTTAATATTAAACAAAGTTCAAATGTTGTTCCTTGTGCTATAGGTGCTGTGGATCTGTACACTGAGATTTTAGAGTAATAAAATGTCGTGTGTGTTGTGCTTTCCTGATAAACTCCTTCCTGTGTATTTTCTTCTCCTATTCTACCTCCAAAATTTAGCGGCTATTTCTAAACCAGATGGTAACAGTCTAAGTAGTATACGTCAGCGATTTGAACAGAAGACAACATCGTCGACGAATTCATCTGCTCCGTCTGCAGCTCAACAACGTGTTCTTGAAGAACGTGCTCGTTGGGAGGCTGAACGTAAAAAAATGGAAAAAGAACAATTAGAAGAAATATCCTCATCGAAGGGAGCCACAGTATCGCTTGATACAAATAGAGCGGTTAGTATTAATAAAAACAGTAACATTTCGATTAATTTTCACGTGTTGGTCTTACAGGGATTCGCGTGGTTTCAAGTTGGCTGGATAATGCTGAATGCTTGCCTTGTAAACTGAAGGTGGCTTTGCGGTCGCTCCTCGGTTGGGGGGGGGTTATGAGTATAGACTGCAAACCGAAGAGTCTCAAACTACCGCCACTACCACTTCACTTGCTTGAGAAGTTACATCACTTTTATTGGGCTGATTGCTAGCGAGATCTCATTGTAGATACAAAAGGCTCGTATGACATTTGCACCAACTTACATCACCCCTGGCGTACATGTGATATATCCGGCTGGCTATCGATCGAAGGACTTATGTACTGCGCAGTAGTTCTCTGTGTCCTTTATAGCTGTCGGATATGACCATGAAATGTGGAAGATATGAAAAGGCCGGCTAGCTGTCTTCGCTCATAGTTGTCTGCGTTCCATCTCCTGTATTAATTAGTACAATAAGGTTGTAACAACAGAAGACAAGGGCCAGGCAACAGATCGTTTACTGAGAAAATCAAGAGATATTTTATGTACATTTTTTTATGTACATTATCATTCGTTATTTTTAGCAGAGAAGTAACGTCTTCTGATTGGTTGTTTTCCTACTGAAGGTTATTCTGTCATCTCTTTGTTGCAGTTTCTTAGACAGTCCGTCAATATGCCTGCTAATCGTATCCGCCCACGCTAAGTCTTCTGTGGTTGGTTGTTGAGTTCCTCAAAGTTAGTCTTTGTTCTTGTTTTTTCTCATGACCAAGATTTGGGACGAGGGTATTGACGTAAATATTGCTGTCTACCCATTTTGGGTAGCAGACAGCTCTCACCATAGTAGTAATATGGAAGAACAATAGAGTACTTCGATTGGATATGACCAATCACAAAGAGTGAGATGCATCTGCACCAGTCATCACTCAGAAGGATTTTGAGCCATATCACCAATTGTCTCCAGCCTTCATTGGTTCTCATCAACCTCGGAGGACTCCAACCAGTCAGTCAGGAAGACCACACCTCCCTACGTGGCTGGTTGGCCGACTGCTGACTACCTTAAACTAACTGTTATGGATTCGATTGACGGATGAAGTCATTTTCTGGTTTGACCACCACGTGCTAGCTCTCACTTTCAACCTCATCCATCCTATGAGTCAGCTAACACTTCCCGTCACTCGAGGAAGGTGATCAATGGCTAGGCTAGGCTAGGGATGTATAACACAGTTACACATGTTCTAACCATCTTTCTCAATCGATGTAACTTCACAACCTCGTTGATTGGTTTTCCCTTCTTACCTAGCACTCACTCGACTGATGCCTCACCTCAATATTACTCACCACCCTATTGTACCACCACCTAAGACGGGAGATGGAGTGCAGACACCTATGATCAAAGACAGTCAGCTAACCAATCTTTTCATGTTTTCCACTTTTAATCAGTAGCCATATCTCACTGCCATAAGACAGAACAGAGAGAACTGATGAGCAGTACAAGTGTCTTTTAGTCGATATCCAGTCGGATGTATATCACTTCCACTAAGTCAGCGATGTCGAAAGTTGGCTGACAAATGTCAAACGAGTCATCTATATCCGCGGTGAGATTTCGTCAGCGACCAACCCGTTTGGGCTGATGGTAACCAGGAGAAATAAATTATCATTTTAATTGATCTATGAAAACAGATTTTTACCATATGGTCTATGATTAAAGTGCTCCTTTCAGGATTGTTTAAATGCCAAACCCCTCTGTGTACACACACAAACACACATCGCATAAATGAGAAAGAAAGCAGTATTAGAGTGGGTATGACAACCTAAATGAGAAAGGGGAAAGCACCGAGCTCATTGTATACCATTCTCAAATTGATCCAACCTTGGTCGATAAACATGACTTCTAGCTGTAGCTTTTATCTTGAGGACTCTTGAATCTTCCCGATTCCTGAAATTAAAGATACTAATCTCTTCGTATCCTCTAGTCATTTTTTGTTGATTTTGTTCATCAGAGATTTTGTTATTTGATGGTAGATGGTAACTTACAGTAGGATCGAGGAATATGCAGTTCGTCCTCTTTGGGATTCGTCAGCTAGACGTACCTATACCCATCCTTAGTAAGTGAGTGAGTGAGTGAGTGATGGTGTTCCCATTGAGACTCGAACCCACGACAGATCATTTCAAAAGCGGAAGCGTTTTCCACTAATCTACGGGTGTCACCTCTTGTTCGATGGGTATCAGTTAATGCAAGCAATGCAATTGCTGAGCTCTTTTCTAAATTACTTATCTTCTCGGGGTCAACCATTCTTACCTTAGCTAAATTCTTGTGCTCCAACAATCTGACTACCCCCGACCTCCTAATTTGACCTATGTATTTGACTTAACTCACAGTCATTGCGACGTATTTTGTAAATTATATTATTTTGTTTAATTGGGCCAACCTGCAGGGTCCTTTAACCTACAGAGGTTGTCCTGCCTGAGTGAGTTTGTAGATTTAAATGGCACCCTAATTCCTGCCTATGGAGAGTCTCAGATGTCCCCTCCATGTGTGGTAAAACTGTAGATGCCGTCGATAAATATTACTGTATAACACTTTGAAACTTTATCGAAACAAATTTTATCCATAATAGTGAAATTTTGTCACTTGGCCATTCCATCATGATGGTGTTTTCTTTTCAGAGTTCCACCATCGTCTCTTCTTGTGTCAATTCGACATCCAGAAATTGGATCTTTGATTTATTTTCTAATTCCATTGTAAATTTAATTAAAGCGTAGCAATTGTTAAACTCTTTTAAGATACAATTTAGGTGAGAATCATCATGACAGACTATAAACCCCCTGTGCAGTCTATATTCACACTCTTGAACTTTCATGTCATGTTAACAATTATTATTTCAGTTATAAAAAACACATTATAGCGATTTTCTATAGTTTGGTTTGTAAGAGTTAGTTTTGTTTTTACCAGTTGACCACGGATTGATATCAGTTAGAGAGAACCATTGAAAACCAACACTGAAGTACTGGACAGCTGTTTCATCCTAGTTTTGGAATCATCGGCAATACGCACCCACTGCCAGGGGTCGAGCTCAGGACCTTCCAGTTACAAGTCAAGCTCGTATGCCATTCACCCACTGGGACCTGATTCAATGTCTAGCCCGTGTATTCTAAATTTATTGCGTTTGTGGCACAGCGGCTAGGACGCTCGCCAACCATGCACATGGTCCAGGGTTCGATCCCCGGCCTGCGAAATTGGTCTGCCGATTTCACATGCTGAAAATTTGTTATTTGTACCAAAAATACGGTGTGGAGTCAAGCTATAATCAAAAAAACTTCCAATTCGTGATTTAACGCGATCCCAACCAATGTCGTCGGTGGGACATCCATCCTCACACGTGACATCTGGGTAGACCTTACTGGTCATGACTTGTCACTAGAACTCCAGAGAACTCACTCCTGTAGCGAGTCATCCACTTATACACACGCACACACTGTGTATTGCTGCAATAAGTCTTCCACTGTCATTGTCAGCTTGTTTATCCGTCGTTTGAATACATTCTGGTTGTTTCTTTCCTTCTTCTGTGAACACAGGTCTCCCAATCAACTGATGATTCCATGAAACCTCCTACTCAGTTGTCGTCTATTGGTGATACGAAGAAGCATGACAATCCCCCGAGCAGTAATCCTGTCACTACTACCACCACAGCTATATCAAACAACACATCGGTCCTATCTGAATCCAATCGAATAAGTCATAAGGAGAAGGAGGAAGAGGAGGTCAGTAAGAGTAATGATGCTAATGAATTACATGATGACTATCAAAGAAATTCTCTTGGTCATCATCAGGTAAGAGGTGGTTTTAATTATTATTTTTCCCCCTATTTATAATTAGAAATTTTGATAAAAACAACTTTAGGTGATAAGCGCTTTTTGAAAGGCATATGTCATGCATGGTGTTTTATGGTATTCGTATTTCGTGTTCATGTTAAAAACGTTGCCTTAAGTTAAGTGGGTAATTTAAATCATTCGAACTGCTGTAGTTCGGTGCAAAGTTCTACGTTGAAATCAGTCAGTCAGCAATCTAAGTCACTTTCAGACATCAGTGTTTCATTAACTGTCCGTCAAAGGTTCGTTTTATATTGACAGCTCTGCCTTGTGTGTATGTACGTTAAACTCAGTGGAACATCGACTCATGCCTAACTTGAAGACAGAGGGGAGTGAAATGGTGAAGTGTGTTGATAACGTAAACCATTTCGGGGGTGGGGTGGAAGTTTCATCAATCCCCATGGACTGACTGATTACTGATGAAATCCTAGAACATATACAGATGGCTGGGTTGGCAATCGCCAGCTGACTTACGACATTTCTACCTTCGTAGACGTGATATCCATCGGGCTATTTATTGACCAAAGGACGTGTATACTGCTCACCAGTATCTGCTGCTCACTTCATCCTCCTTTATCGCTGGCTATGAGATATGGTTTCCATTGAAAGTGGAAGACAAGAAAAGATTGGCCAGCTGTCTTTCACCGTAGATGTCTGCGTTCTATCTCCCGTCTTAGTTGGTGGTAATATTGAGGTAAGGCATCGATCGAGTGACTGCTAGGTAAGGAGGGAAAGTCGATCGAAGACGTTGTGAAGTCACATCGATTGAGAGAGATGGTTAGGACATGTGTAACTGTGTTATACATCCCTAGCCATCGATCGCCTTCCTCGAGTGACGGTGAATGTCAGCTGACTTACACAGGATGGATCAGGTTGGAAAAGAGCAAGCATGTGGTGGTCAAACCAGACCATGACTTCATCAGTAAATGGAATCTATAACAGTTAATTTAAGATAGTCAGCAGCCAGCCAGTCAGCCACTTAGGGTGGTGTGAACTTCCTGACTGACTGGTTGGGGTCCTCCGAGGTCGGTGAGAACCAATGAAGACTGGAGACGATTGGTGATATGGCTCAAAATCGTTCTCAATTGCGCAGAGGCATTCACTTTTTGTAACTTATAATATCCAGTAGAAGTGTGTTGTTCTTCCACATGGCTACTATTCGTTTTATCTCAACCACACTTTTGTTTATTATCTCTCTCCATTTGGAATCTCTTTTTACTCTCTTCATTGTACATGTGTGCACAGTTCTACGTTGAAAGCAGTCAGGTAGAAGTGCTACAGTTCAAGTTTCCATTCAGTCTATGTAGCACGCAAAGGTAGATAAAGGACAAGGGGAAAAAGGGATTCAAAAGTACCAGAATAAGCAGAAATATGTGGGAGGAAGAAAGAATAGTAACATGGAATGACATTTGGTTTGAATGGATCTGAGAGGTCGCATAGAGTAAGAATACATACGCCCCATTCGGAATGAATTTTAAACCGTATTTATAATAGTCTCCACCCATTGGTTCTTAGAATCCTGACAATCGTCTACACCTCCCAACATCGCGCTCAAAGCAATTGTCCAACACTTCATAAACTGTGATATCAGGTTATGGTTTGAACACCCGTAACTCTTCTGTAACGTGTAGTTCCATATTGGCGTACATTACTCGTCGTAGAAGGCGGTAGCTTAGTCTACGCAACACGTGTTGTAACCATTTTAATCTATATAGCTTCACAACCTCATCAGATTTTACCACCTAACATGGGAGCTAGGAATTCATCTTGCATAGTAAAAACAACGCGAAAAGACAGCGAAATTTAGATTTTACACATTTTCATGCATTTGATGATTTACTCATTAGAACTGGATTTCTATGCAATTTTGTCCAGGCATATATAAACCTCGTCATAGGATTATCCCACAATATTTGAAACATTTTTGTTGTCACAGTTACTCGGTAACCATTTGTATTCTTATTCCCCATACCTGTTCTATAAGAGCTAATAACACACTGCCTGGCTGCCTAAACTTAGGTAACTGACGCTGACAAAGTACAGAGTCTTCTGTACACCTTCAGCTGCAATCTACAAATGTTTGACATGCGATTCGCTCCCACCAAATGTAAGAGGATGTTACAGAACTGGACGACATTGACTCACTTCCAGCTTAAAAATAGGGAGTGAAGTGGTTGAACACGTTGACCGCTTCACTTACTTGGGGAGCTGCATCAGCCCCAACAGGTTAATTGCTGACGAAATCTCATCACGGATACAGAGGGTTAGTTTCGAATATGCCAGTTTATGCCGTCTCTGGGGTAGACGTGATATCTGGTTATCGAACAAAGAGCGGGTGTATTGCTCAGCAGTCCACTCCGTCCTCCTTTATCGTCCTTTATCGCTGTGAGACCTGGCCATTGAGAGTGGAAGACATGAAAAGGCTGGCTAACTGTCTTTGATCATAGGTGCCTGCGTTCTATCTCCTGTGTTAAGTGGTGGTATAATAGGGTGGTGAGAAATATTGAGGTTAGGCATTGGTCGAGTGCTAGGTAAGGAGGGAAGATCAATCGACGAGGCTGTGAAGCTACATCAACTGAGATGGTTAGGACATGTGTTACACATGCCTGTCTAGCCAACACCTTCCTCGACGGGCAGTGTTAGCTGACATAGGGTCAGGCTGGATAGGAGCTGGCGGCAGTCAAACGAAAACATGTCACCAGTCAATGAAATCCACAACAGTTAGTTTAGATCAGTTACGTAGTGAGGTGTAGACTCCTGTCTGGTTAGGGGGCCTCGGGACGGTTAACACCAATGGCTGGAGACAATTGGTGATATGGCTCTTGCTTTGTGTGCTACATCGAATGTGGCGACTTGAACTGCTGCACATCTTTGCAAAGTTCTATGTTGAAAAGAGACAGACAGAACTGGTACTGGATTCGAATCCGTCTGTGACTCAGTGGTAGGAAGTTGAACGCCTAGACCAATGAGTTACAGCTCCACTGTATTTGTCAACACCTGTGGTCAGGTCTATCTGTCTGTTTTGGACATAGAACTTTGCACATATGTGTGGCAGTTCAAGTCACCACACTCCATGTAGCACACAAAGCAAGAGAAGAAAATAAGAGAAATGCATATTAGAGACAGTAAACAGAGGTGTGAGACAAAGGAATAGTAATAACGGAGAACAAAACAGTTTAATTGGAAATTGTAAGTCACAAGGAGTGGATGCATCTGCGCCAGCCATTGAGAACGATTTTGAGCCATATCACCAACTGTCTCCAGCCACTGGTGTCTGCCGTCCCGAGGACCCCAATCAGGAAGTCTACACCTTCATACGTGACTGGCTTAAACTAACTGTTGTGGATTTCATTGACTGGTGACATGTTTTCGTTTGACTGCCGCCAGCTCCTATCCAGCCTGACCCTATGTCAGCTAACACTGCCCGTCGAGGAAGGTGTTGGTTATTCAGGCATGTGTAACACATGTCCTAACCATCTCAGTTGATGTAGCTTCACAGCCTCGTCGATTGATCTTCCCTCCTTACCTAGGACTCGATCAATCCCTAACCTCAATATTGCTCTCCCTATGACACCTAACACAGGAGATAGAACGCAGACACCTATAATCAAATACACCTAATCTTTTCATGTCTTCCACTCTCAATGGCCAGGTCAGGATATTTTGTAAACAGATCTATACAGACCTCTGTGTGTGTGTGTGTTGTATTGGTGTCATTAATTCGAAAGTGAGCGTGTCGGACAATTTTCTCATTACAGTTTTTTCGTTTACAATATTTTTTGATTGTTATATGATTATTATTATTGTTTAATTGTATTTATATGTTCACTTCCTTTTTTCTTAATTATAGCCCAACACTGATGCTGTTACGTGTAGTCAAACTCCAGAAATGTTCACAGCGATAGCCTTGTATGATTATGTTGCCGGTAAGTATTCATTCCTACGTGTCGTCTAGTTTCACTTTATTATTATTATTATTATTGATTTTTGAAATTCCGGCTAGTTATTCTGTTATTCGGGTTTCTTAATAATAGCAATAATAATAATATGCTTTATTGCAAAACAGTACTAATGTTACAGTATGAAGTTTTCAGCATTTTGGTACAATCTGATTGCATCTCATTTTATCGAATAACGAACAACACATTGAACACAAATTATAAAGATAATAATATTATTATTACAGGATTGATTGATTGTTAACGGCAGTGTTTATTTGGTATTTGTGATGACAGTGAAGCCACTTATATATATACATACACACACACAAAAATTGTAAATAATAATAATAAGCATAAGGTTAGTAGCTAAGATTGTCAGTTAATTGTGATAGAATCAACCTACAATCAACTACAAATATAGGAGACAATAAAACGGCTGATTATTATTTTGCTAACAATATGGTTTCGCGCTGGATTCAGCAGAAACAAGTCATGCATTGATCAGATCGCCACATTACGGATCATCATTGAACAAAGCTTGGAATGGCAGTCACCTCTCTATCTCAACTTCATCGACTTTGAAAAGGCCTTCGATAGCGCAGCGTCGATCGAGAGGTGATTTGGAAACTACTTCGCTACTATGGGGTGCCACCGACAATTATACATCTCATCCAACAGGAGTAAGACAAGCTGGCTGCCTACTATCGCCAATGATTTTCCTGATTGCAGTAGATAATGCGACAAACAATGGGCAATGAGGAAACAGGCATAAAATGGACTCACACAATAAACTTGGAGGATCTGGACTTCGCCGATGATATATGTCTGATTTCACACAAACTGGAAGACATGCAAGCGAAAAGCAACAAGTTAGCAGAAGAAGCATCAAAGATAGGACTTCAGGTGAACAAAGAGAAAACAGAGGTGATGAAGATCCCTGGCCAACACCACCAACAACAACAGACAGCAATCAGCATAAATGGAAAAAACCTGAAAGAAACTACCTCCTTCACCTACTTGGGAAGCATTGTTTCAACTACAGGCGGAACTGACGAGGATATCAAAGCAAGGATCGGAAAAGCAAGACAAGCTTTCACTACTCTCAAGTCTGTGTGGAGGTCAACAACACTCAGCATCAAAAATAACATCCGGATTTTCAACTCCAGTGTGAGTGAAGTCAGTGCTACTATACTACAGACCTTCATTAACAGTTGTCTTCGCTCAATACTCAAGATCAGATGGCCAGAAAAGATCAGCAACAGGGATCTTTGGGAACGAACCAACCAGGAACCGATTGTGAAACAAATATGCAGGAAGAAATGGAGATGGATTGGCCATGCTCTCAGGAAACCATCGAGTAACATCACTAGACAAGCCCTTGAGTGGGGCGCGAAAGGGAAGGGGCGAGTTGGTCGTCAGTGCAAGGGTGACTTGGAGGAGGTCATGTGAAGAGGAGATGAAAACGTGTGGACAGACTTGGAGCCAGGTGAAGACTCTAGCAGAGAACCGAACGCAATGGAGACGCACGGCTGAAGCCCTATGTTCCTCTAGGAATTAAAGGAAACAATAATAATGATAAGTTTCGCGCTTAACACATTGTCTCTATTGCATAGAACACAGGCTGGCCAAATATGGTATCGTTGATTTCCTATACTTGGTAGTAGTGGTACGAGCATATATGATCTTTTGTACTGACTTCTAGTTCTACCAGATGAGAGACACAAGGCGAGGAGAGTTGAGAATAGAGTGGCTGCGTGTTGACAGTCAGACAATATGGCTTTAGACCATATCTCGCATGAGTTTAGATGTTTGTCAATTAAGTTGCACACCACTTACCCTACTGACAGCCTTTAATATCCTTCTCAAAATGACATAGTCGTTTTCGAGTAGCCCATGAAAGACTTGGGGTGAGGAACAGTAAAGTAGGATAGGTAAGATACATGGGTTAACAAGTTGTAGAAAAGTTGGAGTTGAGTGATTTCAGATTGGTTGGAGGATTTCACCATAAGCTGACATCAGTTAGAGAACCATTGAAAAACCTACAGGAAGTACTGGACAGCTGTTTCGTCTTGGTTTTGGAACTCTTCATCAGTACGCATCCACCGCCAGGGTTCGGACCCAGGACCTTCTGTCCACAAGGCTAGCGAGCTCGTAGACCATTAATCCACTGGGACTCGATCCAATGGCCAGCCCATGGATTCTAACTTCTGCCAATTCATGTTATAGCGCGACCACCTCTCAGTGTCTTCTTCGATGAGTTACTGCCTCACCTTCAATCTGCTGTACCCTACTGGTCATGGATTCCCATTAGAACCCCAGGTCCAGTCGCTAGGACGAAACAGCTGTCCAGTACTTCCAGCTAGTTTCCCAATGGTTCTCTAACTGATGTCAGTTCATGATGAAATCCTCCAACCAATCAAACAAAATCCCTACAAAACTAATACTTGATTCCAGACTGTACTAGCTTAGAAGTAACATTTTCTTGGAGATCGATAAAATATGGGATGAACAAGTGTGATCAGAGGATTTAACTCTACCAAAGTATTTTGTGTGTTAGACCTATTTGAATCTATCAGCAACTTGTGTCTCTTGTTGCGATAATTTATGAAATATGTATATTGGGTTTTTCTCAGCCTGTGACTGTTATTTTCTTGAGTGTAATAGACAATCTCTTTGTTGGTATCGTGAAATGAATTTTTTCCGATACACCAGACTACATATGTGCGTGTATGCTTCAGCGGTAGGAACGCTCATCAACTAGGCTTATGGTCTAGGATTTGATCCCCAACTGACACCACTCCTTATCCCTGCCAGTAGTAAGCCCGGTAAAAAGGGAGTAAGGTTGGATGTGAGGCTAGCAACCTTACCCCATAAAAATAAAACACCATTGCCACTAAAACTTCAAAACTGTAGCTTGTAGCCAGTATGTTCTACTAGGAACGTAAAGGAATAAAAATAATAAATAACCAAGTAGGCATCATTGTTGCTGGCAACTGATATTCAGAACTTGGCCTGGTAACCCGAAAGTCCTTGGTTCATTCCCAGATGGGTGAGATCATGGGTGCTCACTGATGAAGAGTCCCCTAAACAGACTGAAATGACTGTCCAATGCTCCCCATTGGTTTTCAGTGATCTCTCTAACTGATACATTGGTTCATGACGAAAATCTAAAAATTGTAATCAGTGCGAAATCTCCACAACTCCTCTAATCTGAATATTGGCACTTGTTACCAAGGTGTATGTGCAGTAGTTTCTCTGTGATTGATTTCATCCCAGAAACCACGACTGGCATTACTCAATACTACAGTTATAGATGTTACTGGTGAGCTCTTCTGTTCACAATTGATATTTTCTTGTAGTAGTCAGTCGAATACATTGTTGACTGAGTTCTATTAGCGAATTTTACAGTAAGACTACCCATCTAACAGACCTGTCATCATTATCCTTTCAAGCCTCACAGATGTAAATCCATCACCTGTAAAATGTAAGATGCTGCTACAGGACTGGACTACGTCTACCCCTAGATTAGTGATAGGGAGTGAAGTGATAGAACATGTTGACCACTTCACTTATTTGGGAAGTTGTATCAGCACCAACGGATTGATTGGTGACGAAATCCCAGCATGGATCCAAAAAGCTCGAGCTGCTTTCGCTAACTTACACCATCTCTGGCGTAGGCGTGACATCCGGCTACCAACCAAAGGACGTGTGTACTGCTCATCAGTTCGCTCCGTCCTTCTCTATGGCGGTGAGACGTGGCCATTGAGAGCGGAAGACATGAAGAGATTGTCTCTTTTTGACCACAGATGTTTACGATCTCTTTCTCACGTTAGGTGGGTGGTATAATAAAGTAAGTAATGTTGACGTTAGGCGTAGAGTGTTGGGCAAAGAGGGAAAATCAATCGACGAGGCTTTGAAGTTACATAGATTGAGATGGCTAGGTCACGTGCTGCGCATGCCTAACCATCGCCTCCCCCGACGGACGGGCATTACTAGCTGATATAGGTGCAGATTGGAAAAGAGTAAGCGGTGGCCAAACAAAAACATGGCATCAATCAATCCATGAAATCCTTGACAGTTGAACTGAGTCAGATAGGGAGATGCAGACTTCCGGGTTGGGGCCGGCCCTCAGGACTCTAAGAATCAATGAAGGCTGGAGACAATAGGTGACATGGCTCAAAATCGTTGTCAATAGCTTATGGAGATGTATTCAGTCTCTGTAATCTTTCATGTTCCTTTCTACCATTACTCATTCTGTTTCACTCTTATACTTGTCAAAACTCTATTGATTCTCTTCACTCATTTTCTTGTCTACGTTTGTGTGCTATTTGGAGCGTGGCAACTCGAAGTGCTGCACTTTGGTGCCAAGTTCTATGTTGAATCCAGCCAGCCAGCCAGTTCAAATGTTATTATAGTTCATAAAATAACTCCCTTTTCATAAATCGTTTAATACATTCACAATTAGGGCTCAATATAATATATTGAATACTTTAGATGTGATATATTTTCAAAAGAGAAATTTACACACATGCATACAACTCCACTTGTCTGCCTCACCACAACAACAACTGGTACTGCTCATATGAAGAAGTTCATCGATTTCAGAACATCCAATTCTTCTAATTGATCTAACTCTCGATCGACCAACAAACCGACCGACTCACTAGCTTCATAAAGAGAACTGGCATAACTAGACAATACACATTCAGCGTTAACTTCACAGTTAGTCTCTCAGTAAGTCGGATGACATAACAGCATCAGAAAGACCATTCATAGTTGATAAAGAAATATAATTTTCACAATCTGACCTGTAAACACTACTTATTACACCTTAATCAGATTAGTCAAAAAACAATATTATTGATTGAAATGAGTTGATCATTTACTCACGTATTTGATGATAGACGGGTAGACAGACAGACAATTAGATAAGTGTATTGTCATCATTTATGACCACGAAGTGATTAAATCATTGTTCAGTTGAC